TTTCTAAAATTAGTATTCTATTGAATGTTTATAGAAAGGATGTGTTTTCATTCATTCCTTGATACGCATTTTCCTCCTTCCCTCCTTCCCTAATTCACGTTGCAGTGTATGTCTTATTTCAGATTATCAGTTGACATATACACAATGTCTAAGCACCTGTTCCTGTCAGATGGTCCCTCCCTTCTCTCATTCTCCCCAGATTTCCTTGTTTCCATCCTATTTTATAACTGATTTTATGCAGTACATGTCCTTTTGTAACTGAGATAGTTCACTGAACATACTATCTTCCAGCCTTACCCATGTGTTGTAGTATTTTGCAAGTTCTTTTTTTTTAGTGCTATGTAATTGTGTGGCTGTACCACAGTTTTTCTATTTGTTTCTTGATGGGCACTTGGCTGCTTCCATCTCTTCATTAGAATGAATAATGTGAAAGGGACAGCAACTTTAAAGATTTATAACCTTGGAAACGATATGGTATAATTTCTGTTATATCCTATGTGGCAGAAACTTTAAAGATTTACAACCTTGAAAACTATATGGTATCATTTCTGTTATATCCTATGTGGTCACTGTACAGAGATTAGACTCAATGGCAATAGATTTGGTTTGAATTTGGGATAGTGAATATAACCCATGAAGTGTATTTTTCTTAGAAAATTAAACATAAATCAGATTACACCCCTTGATTTTCCAGATAATTGTGCAGAGGGCTTCTGGGTAGCTAATAAGATTCTTTTTCTGAATGAATATTAGTAGTATGATTGCCCTTTTTTTCCCATTGAGCAATTTATTTTTGTTAACAACTTTGGTAGTTTACTGGTAAGGAGTGGGACTGCCAGTTCAAAGACAGGCAGTTCAAATTGGTCAGCTGTTCTTCAGGATAAAGATGGACAATCTACTCCCATGTGATTAACTGCCTCTGAAACCCCTTTGGAGGATCATCTCTGAGTCATTTCTAATTCAGTGGCACACAGAATCCATTCATTGCATGAGATTATCCGTGTAACTGGCAATTTGAATCCCCTATCAACTCTGAGGAAGAAAGGTGGAAAATCTCTTTCCATGCCATTTACAGCTCTGAAAATCTGTTGTAGGATCACCAGTAAGTTGCTACTGACCCAACAGTACTAAAACAATACCAGAAAACTCATCTGACTGCCGTTGAGCCATTTCTGATTCACAATAATCCTCAACTGGTCTTCTGAAGTTGGAAATCCATGTGTGAGGAGACTGCCCATCTTTCTCCCATTAAGTGTTCAGTGGATTTAAACTACTGACCTTTCAGTTAGCAGCACAAGACGTTATACACTGTGCCACCAGAGATCCTTGTGTTAAACAATATGAAAGTAAAATTTTAAGTAAGATTGAGGTTGTCAGGTGCTTTGAAATTGACTGACTCATAGTGACCCTATGAATAACAGATCAGAACCTTGTCCTCTCTTTTGTTAGCTTCCTGATTTCTTTCATGCTCAAGTTCATTATCACTGTGTCAATACATTGTGCTGAGCATTATATTTAACATTTTAATAGTTTTGTTTTTTAAAGTTACTTGCTAGATTTTCATAGGAAATCTGAACCCTAACTTTAAGGAGGAATGTTAAAAAATTTTAGTGGAGAGTCTAAACAATAGAGTTGCAAATAGTAGCTAAAACAGAAGAATCAAGCAAGCTCCACATGAAAGAGCACCGAAGTCAGTCACTTAGGGCATCTTCAGTCCAAAGGGGAACTCTGGTGACATAGTGCGTAAGGAGTTACACTGCCAACTCAAAGGCAGGCAGTTTGAATTTACCAGTCGTTCCATGGGAGAGAGAGGAGGAGTCTCTTCCCATGGACTTTACAGTCTCTGAAAACCTCCTGAAGGGTCAGCTGTGTGTTGGGTCTGACTCAGCAATGAGGTTAGGATTAAGGTTACCTAAAAATGTTATATGCTTCACATTTTCTTCCAAGTACTTTTACTAATTAATGGTATATACTCAAAAAACTCCTTGCCTTGGAGTCAGATAACTGACCCTTCAGTGGCTTTTCAAAGGAAGAGATTACCCATCTTTCTTTCAGAAGCTGCTGTGGATTCAAACTTCTGGAGAGGTGTTATTTAAATTCTCTGTAACTGAATATAATGACTTTTCTTGAATTTAAAAATGTTTTTAAAACAACGATGAGATATCATCTCACCCTAGTCAGATTAGCAAAATTTAACAGAACAGCAAGCAACAAATGCTGGCGAGATTGTGGAGAAACTGGAACCCTTATTCAGTGTTGGTGGAAGTGTAAAATGGTGCAACCACTGTGGAAGGCGGTATGGCACTTTCTCAAAAAGTTGCAAATAGAGATATCAATTAACCCAGCAGTTCCACTACTGGAAATATACCCTAAAGAAACCAGAACTGCAGATATATACACACCCATGTTTATCGTAGCTTTGTTCACAGTAGCAAGGTGTTGGAAAAAACTTAAGCGCCCATCAACAAACGAATGGATAGAGAAGCTGTGGTATATTCACACAATGGAATACTACGCTGCATTGAAAAATAAGGAACTCATGCAATATTACTCAAAATGGGTGACCCTGGAGAACATTATGCTGAGTGAAGTATCTCAGTCACAAAAGGACAAATACTGCATGGTGCCACTGTTGTAAAACAGGACTGACAGCAGGGTTGGGGGGAGACTGAGAAAGATGGGATAAATGATGTATACTGCATTGAAACAGATAAGGGAGAAGACTGTTTAAAAGGGTTATGAGATTAGGTATTTTTGTCATGACAGGAGTCCAGAGCAAAGGCTGAATAGTGGAGTGGACCTGGGGGAAGGGATTATAAAACAATGAAAGAATTTTTCTTTTACTTTTCGAAGAGGGTAGTGTACTTGTGGGGGGGAGGGTTGGCAGGGGAGAAAAGTGCAGCAATGAATGAATGGAAATCCAAAGTCTCTGTAAATTTTCATTAAAATTAGTAATAATTTTTTCTAAAGTTTTAAAAATTTGTTTATTAAGCAGATTCCCCCCCCCTACTTTTCTTCATTGGCCTTATGTTTCGCACAATCATTCCAATACATTGTGTTTTATAAAATTAATCACCATTGGACTATGTGCACCATTACCCCATTTTTTTCAGATCCCCACTGGATCTTTCCCATTTCCTTTACCTTCCTCTTCATAAGTTGTGTGATACTGTCATTTCCCTCCTACCTACTTTTACTCCCAACCCTTGGGCCCTTATACATGTTTTACTAGTTATCCTTATATAATGGAAGGATAAGGTATCCTTTGTTATAGCTTTCCATTTTTTATTTATAATGGTTTATTTCTTATTTATATGGTGATCATCCTATTTTATTTGATAAAATAATTTTCATTAGGCAGTCTCCTTTCATGTGATTAATGGCTTCGGAAAAACTGGAGGGTCCGCTGTGGGTCAGATCCAACTCTACGGTATATAAAAACAGCAGTGTTAATAAAATGGAAATGTTGTTGTTGTTGTTGTTATGTGCCGTCGAGTCGCCTGCGACTCATAGCGACCCTATGTACAACAGCCCTAAACTCCGCTCTGTCCTGTGCCAATCGCACTGTCTCTGACACTCCCATCCCAATTATCCCAGTCACTGAATCAATCCACCTCATAGAGGGCCTTCCTCTCCTGCGCCGTCCCTCCACCCTCCCAAGCATGATGTCCCTCTCCAAGGACCGGTCTCTCCTCACTACATGTCCGAAGTAAGTTAGACGGAGCGTCAGAATCCTTGCCTCCAAGGAGCCACCCGGTTTAACCCTCTCCAGGACAAATCTATTTGTTTTCCAAGCAGTCCATGGTATTCTCAGTACTCTTCTCCAGCACCACAGCTCAAAGGCATCAGTTCTCCTTCTATCCTCCTTGGTCATTGTCCAGCTCTCTGATGCATAACAGGTGATTGCGAAGACCATGGCCTGTATCAGACGCACCTTAGTCTCCAGAGAGACACCACTGCTCTTCAGCACTTTGGAGAGGTCCCTACCAGCAGACTTTCCCATGGCAGTGCGCCTTTTAATTTCCTGGCTGCTGGTGCCAAGACTGTTGACTATGGAGCCAAGCAAACTAAAGCTGTGTACAATCTCAATCTCTTCACCATCCATCCTGATGCTGCCGATTGGTCCAGTGGTGAGAATCTTTGTCTTCTTGACATTGAGCCTCAATCCATATTGCAGGCTGCCGTCCTTGACACTCTGCAGCAGGCGCTTCAGGTCCTCCTCAGTTTCAGCAAACAGGGTTGTGTCATCCGCATAACGCAGATTGTTGATAAATCGTCCACCAGTCCTGACCCCACATTTCTCCTCATAGAGCCCAGCCTCCCGGATAATCTGTTCTGCATATAGGTTGAAGAGGTATGGAAATAGGATGCATCCCTGGCGTACGCCCTTCCCAATTTTGAACCATGCAGTGTTCCCTTGCTCTGTTCTGACGACTGCCTCCTGGTCCAAGTATAAGTTTTGCATTAGAACGATCAAGTGTTCTGGGATTCCCATTCTTCTCAGAGTCAGCCATAGTTTGTTATGATCTACACAGTCAAATGCCTTTGCATAGTCAATGAAGCACAGATAGACATTCCTCTGGTATTCCCTGCTTTCAGCCAAGATCCATCTAACATCAGCTACAATATCTCTAGTACCACGACCCCTTCTGAAACCAGCCTGGACTTCTGGTAGTTCTCTGTTGATGTGCTGTTCCAGTCGTTTTTGGATAATCTTCAGTAAAATCTTGCTTGCATGTGAAATCAGTGAAATTGTTCTGTAGTTTCCACATTTGATTGGGTCGCCTTTCTTTGGGATAGGAGCAAATATCAATCTCTTCCAGTCAGTTGGCCAAGTGGTCGTTCTCCAGATTTCTTGGCACAACTTGGTGAGCACGTCCAGGGCAGCATCTGTTAACTGAAATATAACATTAATCGAGAATTTTTTAATGTATGCAAAAGTTTCAAAGTTCATGTCCAGAAGTAAATTAAATTTATTCTTTTTTTATTTCTCCTCCCAGAGGTCTCTTTATAAGCATCCATGATAAAGGACACATTGCTTCACTTCTTAATGCATGGCCAGAAGATGTCATAAAAGTAAGTGATGAGATTTTTCCTCCATGGTGAATTTGTTCTTTTCCCTGTCCCATCAATTTAAAACTTTGACAATTACACTATTTAGTAGCACTTTTTTCTCTAGTGAATATCGCTTAATATTTATCCCTTTTATCTGTGCAAGAGGTATTTTATTCTGATATTATTTAGGGACTGTTTCTCTATTGTTGTTGTTGTTAAGTGCTTTTGAGTTGCAGATGACTCATAGTGACCCTGTGAACAAAAGACCTAAACGCTTGTATAACTTTCATCATTTCTCTAAGTTCATAGGGTTCCTGGAGGCAAGCTGTTTTCAGAAGTGGATGCCAATCCTGCTTCCAAGCTTATTTTAATCTGAGAGCTCCACTGAACACTATCCACCATGGATAGCCATTATCACATTTGACACATCAGTGTCATAGTATTCAACATCACAGCAACCATAAGTACCTCTGTACAGCAAATGGACAGACCAGTGCTATACTACCTGGAAGAATGTTTGACCAAAACCAATTAAAACCAACCAAATTTCCGAACCAAGGCAAGGTTCAAACTCCATGAGCTCCATCATTCCACATTCCTCCATAATCAAGCATTCTCATTTGCTCTCACCAGCCAAAAATGCCCATTTGTGAGCTTTCCACTGCCTCCCCAATCTCCTATTCTGATGCCACATGTTTCTTGAATGATTTGTTCAGCATATAGACTGAATACACTTGAGGAAAGGATAAAGTGTTAATGCACATCTTCCTTGATTTTAATCCATTGTATACCTTGCTCTGTTTGTATAACAGCTTCTTGATTTAGGTATAGGTTTCATGTTGTTGTTGATTACTATTGAGTCTTGCACGACTCTTAGTGACTCCATGAACCAAAGACCTGAGGCGTTTCTATAACTATTGTTTCTCCAAGTTCAAAGAGTTTCCAGAGGCATGCGGCTTAGGAAGTGGATGCCACTCCTGCTTCCCAACCTGTCTTAAAACTGGGAGCTCCACCAAACACGGTCCACCATGGGCAGCCATTATTGCTTTTGAGACCCCAATGGTAAAAGGTTGAGCATCAAAGCAAACCCAGATTACCTCAGCACAGAAATTGAGAAAGAGTGCTGTACAACTTAAAAGAATGTTCCTCCAAAATATAGTATCAAAAGATTAAAAGATAATCCTTCAGACCCAACTTATTAAAAATAAGGGCCCTCCAGTTTAGTTTCTCTATTATTACACCCTAATTTTTCTTAATCCCCTTACTTAAGTTATAATGAATGTTGGAAATGAAATAACATCTGAATCTCTTTAGGCAAATTCCTTTTTCGTATCAGGGGTATATAATCATCTATTAAGAGGAATGTTAGTAGGCAAAACAAACAATCTGTTCATTTATTTCCTTCACCATTATGGTCTAAAGTAGCTCATTTGACTTTTCTCTCTGAATTAACTAATAAAACCAAAAGCAGCAGTTACTGACATGTACTGATTTTCTTTGTGTGGAAGACTTTACATAGATTCACTTTATCCACCCATTGAGAAAAGAAAGGCATCACTGGATTCTATAATGATAGACATTGAGCACAGAACTGTCTCCAGAGCTGGCTCCAGCGGCCTTGAATAAGCTGCCTCTTGACTGAGAGGTGAAATGTGCTTGTATCCTCATTAACACCTCTTTCTCTTTCTGCTAAGTGTCTAGAAACTTTGTGATATGTTTTAGGGTTCAGAACTTTGAAAGGCACTTCTAAAGAGTGACTGTTGTTGCTTTTGTTGGGTATCACTGAATCGGAACTGACCCATAGCTGACCTTTTGGACAGTTTATTGGCAGCAATAATGGCACGGGAGGAGATTGCCCATCCTTTTCCCTCAGAGCAACTGGTGGATTTGAACTGAGTGCCTTTGGTATTACAGTGCAGTTTTTTGCCTCTAGGTCACCAGTGCCTGTTTAAGCAATTGTGACTAGAATTTATGAATTTGGTTCCTAATGTTTGTGTTAGGCAGATTTGTAGAGTAAAATTATTTCCAATATTTTAATTGCCCCAGTATTTTTACGTAAACAGGCCCCCTGCAAGTTACTCCTTCAGCTCCTCTTTCAAGAGCTAGACTGCACTGTCCACAGATTCTATACCTGGGAACATATTGATTCTATGAGGCAGAAGTGTAGTCCCTCTAGAAAAAGGCTACTCATTTCTTAACCAGAAAACTAGGTAGAATTTCAAGAACCAGCAAAATCAATAGGGAAAGGAAATAACTAAATCCATGTTTAACCGAAAAAATTCATAAATACTTTTAAGTCCATAGAATATTTACAGTGTAAAGAACATGTTCATAAAAATATGGTTTTTTATTACCCATTGCCTTTAAGTTGATTGTGATTCAGAGTGAGCCCTTAGTACAAAGTAAAACTTCCTGAGTGTCTTCAAGGCTGTAAATCTTACGGAAGCAGCCTACCTCATCTCTCCCATAGAGGGGCTGGTGGATTCAAAGTGCAGACCTTGAAGTGTTTAACACTATACCACTTGGTGCCTTGAAAGAGCTGTATTGTCGGGGATAGATGAAATGATCTCTACTTATGATAGATACAGTACACAGAATCATCATACTAGATAAAACTTAAAAGTACCTTGAATTTGCAAATTTGACTTTAAAAATTCTCTCCATAAAAATAGCCATTGAGGAGGGAATAGCCCTGGTGGTATAGTGTGTTACATCTTGTGTTGTGAATCGAAAGGCTGGTGGTTTGAATCTACCAACTACTCTGTGAGAAAGATGGACAGTTTCTTCCTACGGAGATTCCCATCCTCAGGAGTCTGATAGAGTGTTGTCATGGCTTGACTTCGCCTCCATGGCAGTGAGTATATAAAAATAACATGTGTTTATCCTTCTTCCCCTCCCCCCACTGGTTTACTTATAAAACTCGAATACAAATTTAAACAGATTCTTTCAATTTCCCTCACCCCCCCACCCATCAAATTGTACAACACAATGATTTACCCTTCTTATCTTATATCACAGCCAGTTAACCTTAATGATACCAGATTGTCTCCTCCAGAGAAGCAAAACAAATTGACCTAATTGCAGTTAAATGTGGGAAATTTTCAAAGATTTAGTATATAGAACATACAAAGATAATCTCTCATATAACTTGTGTTTGTTGTTATGTGCCGTCGAGTCGCCTGCGACTCATAGCGACCCTATGTACAACAGCCCTAAACTCCGCTCTGTCCTGTGCCAGTCGCACTGTCTCTGACACTCCCATCCCAATTATCCCAGTCACTGAATCAATCCACCTCATAGAGGGCCTTCCTCTCC